CAACATAACAAAATTGAAAAAAGTGAAGGGGGTCTGAATACTTTCCGAATGCACTGTATTCTTCAACTGAAGGCTTTAGGGCATATAACCAATATGTTTGATTTACATGTTTGCAGCTTAAAAATGGCAGCTTGATGTAAAACTGTATCAGACTTCAAGCTTGAGCAGCTATTTGTTCAGCTCCACTCCTTGGCTGAGAAAGTAAAAGGATATTTGTGGTGTATCAGTGAAAACTGATGGCACAGACAAGCTTGTGTTTATATACTGAAGATGGGGGGGGAGAGAAACTCCTGGTGGCATAGGCCACATTTTACATTTGGAAGAAAGTGAGCAGAATGTGCTGTTCTAGGTAGGGAATTTTTTCTCTGTGGATATGTTGTGGCACTGAATAGTATGCTCACTTTAAAAAACTGTTAAGCTACAATTGGGTTTAGAGTGCAATTTTTATGTGCTTTTTGTCTTAAAATAGAGGGATGGTGCATTACTGAAATAGCAGTAAGCTTAGAGGGAGGTCTCAGGATTGCAGGTTACCCTTGCCAACAAACAGCTGATCGCTAAAGGTAGAACTTCCCTGCCTGAAATACAGGTGGATTAATCTGGGATATAATAAACTTTTTTTTCTCCACACAGATATCAGTTGTCAGCACAGAGGATGATTTATCATGAATCTTGCCAATTGCCCTCTAGTCTACGCTTGCATTCTACACTTTTGCATGTTAGCCAGACAGTGGCTGAAGAGATCCTTGAAGAATGAAGGCACAGGTGGAACAAGTTCACAAAACCACACTTTCATACAAAGTTGTAAAGATCTGTGTTCACTATCAGCTTTTGATAGCTATTAGTTACCTGTAACCCTTGAATAAAATAAGTATTCCCACCACTGGCTATGTATAAAGCACTTTTCAAGAAGCCATATTATACTAAGTGCTTCAGAAGTACTAGCTGTAAATAATTGTACAGGCCCAATTGTAAATCATCCGGGGGGGATAGTTTATTAAGCACTTTGGAATAACATTTCAATGTAAATTATTGTATAATTTTTTTCAATGGTTGGAAAATGGCAATAGGAGAAAACGGGTTACTCAGATTAATTGCCAAAAATTTGTAAACTAACTTTTGTATGAATTGTGAATTTGTCCTCCCTGAACCACCTACAGGGGTGCGCAGAGGACAACTGCTCTGTATCAGAAATCACTGTAAATTTTGACACTGAAATGAAAGAAGCAAATCTCTGTACATGACTTGGCTCATTATTCTTTTAAGACCACTTGGCACATGGATGAAACTTCTCTTTTGAACTAATCTAAACAAGAAAGCAGAATTAAACTCCATTCCCATAGAGAGCTCAGATACGATACCTAAAAGTCATGGAGTAGATATATCTAACTTCTTAGACAAAAAAATGGTCTAAAATTCACTATAATCCAGTGAACCACTCACGAAACCTTCTTTATAATAACAGGCATTTGAAATCTTGAACTCAACTTCAGTAATCTCACTGGTTTTAAGGTGCTCATAAGGGGCTGCCTACTGTTGCCCTTGACTTCAAATGCCAAGATGTTCTGCTACTTAGAGGATGCAAAGACTTTTAATGTATGGGTTATCTGCCTACTAACCTTTTTGGCAGGTTAATTCACTTACAGGATTTTGTCTTGTGAAAACCTTAGCAGGAAACTTAGTGCTTCCAGAGGGCAGGCAAACAAATGAATAAACTGAACATTGAGTGCTTGAGCCCAGTTAATATTTTTTATACATGGTTATAAAGCATAACTGAGAGCAAACAGCTCCTGTAATAAAATACGGCAATATAAACAGGTTTATCTTGCTCAGAACAGGTGGAAAGATAAGGTACCCGTTCTACTTGATAGTAGAAAAGAGGTAGAAATCGCTTTATTTTCCCTGCTGTGGTGTAAGTATTTTATAGCCAAATTAGTTTGGGGTTAATCCTGGGAAATTGTGCAAAATTATACAGACGCTTATATAAATTGTTTTAATTATGGCCGGGGGAGAGAAAGCTGTTGACAAGTGTTCAAATTAGTATGTTTCTCAAACCCAGTGTTTTCCAGATCTTCAACCATTCTGACTAATGGTCCCATGCTGACAACTAATGGAAACTGCATCTTGTGGACATCAGAATGGGTGACTGGCTCAATGGATGCTGCTGAAGGACAGTTACCAGCAGACCCATCCACGTGGCCAATAGACAATTGAAGAGCGCTGTATGCTTTGCTTTCTGGCCTCAGTTGCTGGTACCCATATTCTTTAAGCCAGGTCTGCATGTCCTTTCCAGGGCTTTTTCCTTCATCTTTGATGGTATCCTGTGGAGCAACATTCCAAAATCTAACCCTCACCCAGGACAATTAATTTTGATTTCCTTTCATTTATGTTTAACTAAAATTTAAAATAGGCAGTCTATTTTGATCATACATTTAATGTTCTTCAGCTGCATTAAATCTATAATTTGATAAAAACTTTTTCAGGATTTCTACCTGGGGGTTTTCCCAAGGCTCTTCATACTATATGTGGTTTGGGATTCAGGTTGCAAGCCTCTGCTCTGGGCTCATAGCTTCTTACCAACTTTTTTTTACTGAGAATTTTCATTTATAAAACTTACAGTGGAAAAATACTATCTCTGGAATTTCTTGAGTATGTTGAACCTATTTCCTCAAGTAGCTGGGTGACTTTTGATCCAATTAATAGATAATTAACCTATTAAGAGTGGATAATGTGGATTCCCAATTCACAAAAATATTGAGTAGTTATTCTCAAATAATGCACAAATATAAAATGCCTAGATAGCCATTCCACAGTGAAGTCTGCCTTGGTGAACTGCAGTGTTTCAATTCACATGACATCTGTGGGTTTTGTTTTACATCTGTAATTGAGACAAGCACATGTTTATTCAATCAGGGTTTAGCCTAAAAAAAAACAATCAGAAAAGTGTTTTGAGAGGGCAAAACGTTCCAGTATTGTGAATCAGATGATATCTGTCTGACCTTCCCTGTACCTTGAATTCTCTTCCTGAATGCTGCGTGGCTTTAACACGAATGTGTGACAGAAGTTAGGCCATCCTCCCCCAGTATGTAACCACAGGAGCAACTAGCTTGGAGATAGATGTGCCAGCTCAGGAGGCTAATTTTAAGAACATGAGACAGGTGAGAGGGTGCAGATGACTCCTCACTGCCTTTTTCACTGGTATTCTCCTGGGCTGAGTTCAGATATTAAGTGGCTATGGATGAATGAAAAAAGGAGTGCTCGGAACATAAGCAGTTCTCAAGGATTCGTTGGTCCTGAGCCATGATTTCCTTTTTTGCTTTGAAAAAGTAGGCACCCCTGCTAATTCCTTCGTGAATGGGGCATTTAAAAGCTAAACCTACAAGCAGTTCTACCTGGCTATAAAGGTAACATTTGGAGCCTACAAAACCTCCCTTTACAAAGGGATTTTGAAACTTTCTGTATAGACACACAAAAGGAATGATCTGTGTTATGGAAGTATACTTTCATGATGGTTGGTAAGCACGTTACTCTTAACCTTCAAAGCCCTCTCTTGCCATCTATTCATAGCCCAGGATTATCTTATTTCTCTGTCAGGAAATAAGAATACTATGGTGCTAGCTTTCCTTCACCTTGTATTGGTGTTTGATCTGCTGAAAGCGTAACCAGTAATGATGAGAAATATAGAAGTAAAGACTCTCTCAAATCCACTTCAACTCCTTTGACTGCACAGACTCATCCAGTTTTCTTTGGCAACAGTGGAAGTTTGCTGCTTTTAAAAAAAAATTCAACCTCCCAGTCTAACCTACAACTCTCCCATCCAGGTATTCACGAGGTCCAACCCTGCATCATTTGGCCAACATAAAAATTGCTGGAAGTATTCTAAATTGCAGCATTATACTGAAATTCTCTGTGCCTTACAAGGACATATTACTTGTATTAAGCCTGAGTTGTTTGTACTGTAGTCTTTATCAACAGATTCCTTTTAATATATCCCTAGAAAGAAGTTGAGACAACCCAAAATGCTGCAGGAAGGGACAGGTCTCCAAAGTCCATGGGATGTGACTGATAGGTGCTTTGTGCCTTCAAATACAGTAATTAGACTTAACACCTGTCTGAGCTTCCTAATAAGCAAGGATTCAAAACATTTTGGGACAGAAAGCTGCATTGGACTTTTGAGCAACATGATGGGCTTCTTGCTAGTCCAGGCACAATAATTTACATTTAATTCATGTAAAATTCAAATCCCATATATTTAAGCAGTCATCCTTATGTTCAAATCACACCTAACCATTGTTGGAAGAGTCCAGGGGCTTTCTGGGCCAGGTTGACCATTCTTGAAAATCAGGAATCTTCCTCTAACTGCTTTAGTTAGATATCTGGAATGGGAGGGTGGGAAGCAAATAGATGGCATCAGAAGCTGGATGAAAAATGTGTAATGTCCTGGAGAAGCCCATGAAATGGCAGCTCTTAATTCTGCGTTCTCTTCATGCAGAAGTGGACAACATTCGGGGAGGGGTATGAATCCCATGGTTTCTCTGATCTGGAGGAGTGGTAGATGGAGTCATCACACACACACATTCACAATCGTCTTCTCCAGTCCTGCTTTAAAATTGCTGGCATGGAGAAAATCTTTAATCTCGTCCCTTCCAGCTTTCCTGGTCAATATGCTTGTTCCTCTGTTGCTAAGAGCAGTGCAGAAGCAGCTACCTGTTCCCAGCACTCAGCTGGGATCACACAAATAGATGAGGCACCCCGCAAAGCAGCCAAGGACCATGAGTTGTGTATGTTGGGAGTGGGGGGATATATTTGCTAGCTTTACAAATACAGTTATGGAATCTGCTCCCTCTGGAATTGTGCTCAGCTTCCACTCTCTCCTTTTCAGGAGCAGAGTCCAGATCTTCTTTGTTAACTGGCTTTTTAGTTTAAATCAATGATTGTGTTAACTGGGTTTAATCAGATCTTAACTGTGTGTGCTTTATTGCTTATTATTAGCCGCCTTGAGTGTAAGTTGCATAAATACTAACAGTGAGCAAGATACCTAGTAAAGGGTACCATTTAGATCATTCTCCCTGGGTGAATATATGCCTGCAGCAAATTCATTTGACATCACAGAACTGTCCGGATGGAGTTTTATAGATGGATGGTTTCATCCATTTCTTTCCTTCCAAAGGAAAATGAGCTTGAGGGTTACAGAGCTAACACTGGAGATTCAACAAATGTTTGTTCAACCCTGTGCCCTCTTAAGTTTCTCAGAACACAGCCACAGGCAGGGGTACATAGAATAAAGCAAAAGGTGCTATAGAGAGTGAATGCATCTGCCTGGATTTAAGATTATTTTGGATTTAACATGGGAGGAAATCATGAGATTAAAAAGCTGGGAGCCAGATCATTGCCTTAACATTAACCTACAGCCACAATGTTTCTGCATGGTGTAGCAGGATAAATGGATTTTCATCTTTCTCACCATCTGTTTATTATTGTTATTAGTACTATAAGTCAGCAGGGTGTCCTGGAATATCTACGGTATCTTATTTGTTAGCTTGTGGCTAATACCATTTTAACAAAATAGTGATGCAACAGAAAGACCACTATGATGTCAATGCATTTTTGCTTGTCTATGAATTCCAGTAAAATGATATTGGGATTGTTGCTCTAGGGATGGTTGAGTACCACGCATTATTTTCACCATAGTTTTTACAGGTCACATGCTGAGAATTCCACTTTGTACCAGTATATTGCAGAATCTAACATTCTTCCTTTCCAATATAAAACTACAAGTGTGCTCTAAAACAGAGCATTTTAAAATATGCAAGTGTTTGAGGAAAAGCATTCTAGTGAATGGAGTTGATTTCCTCTGCATAACCTCCCACTCCCCAACAGAAGTAAAGTCTCTTTACTTCTATCCACTCACACTCAATTTCTACAACCCCACAGTTTATAAGGAGCTAAATGCAGAAATAGCAACTCCCTTTGCTTGTGGGTAATACTGATAAGAAAAATGTTTTTTCATTGCCGCATCTTACTATTTTTTTAGTTCTATGGTTTATAAATTCAGATTTTGGTATTATCTGCTCCTATAATGTCTCTTCAGTTTATTCTCAGCCTCCGAGTCAAGTAAAATGGTTAGGGATGGTCTTTTAAGTATTTTGAGAGAATGCCACATTGGATATTTGCATTTTTTATCTGTGGACATTTCAACTGTGTTTTGAACCTAGGGCTATCAGAGCTAGGCTGCACAAATCTAAACCACCATTAGAAGACAGCAAAGAGTTCTAGATTTCTGCAACCCATAACTCATAACTATTAACTATAGAACCCACATGGGTGGGTTTATTTTTTTATAGTTGCAATTCTAGACATACGTGTATGAGAAAAAGTATGCTTCTGTATTGGAATCCCCATCATTATTCATGGGGAATGTTGAATAATTTGGATATTTATTGTGTTACAGGTTTATTTAAAGTCCTCCTTTGATACTGTTTCAGACCCAGTTTATGTGTATTTTCCCTACAAAAAAATGAATTTCAGCATCAGTATTTGTTGGTGTTTTTAAAGGCCAATTAAAGGAGTATTTTCATTTAATTAGTTAAAAGCTTCCTTTTGCCATATTCACTGCTTTTTCATCAGTATAGTTCCTTCACTGATTTTTCATTGCCCCTTTCTCAGAATCTATTCTCCCTGAGAAAGAAAATCAGTGATGAAAGTATTGAATGCATTAGTTACTGCTTTCTTTATATTCTCTTTACAGCAAAAAGACACTATTTTGTTATAACAGAAAGAGGAGGAACATAAAAAGTAATTAACCCCTTTATGGCAATAAAAACTGCTTAAGGATGACTTATCATTAATGACCCAGTTGTGTTTAACAGGAAACAATAAAGAGGCAGATTCTGTAAGCAGGAAGCTACTAATTAGAAATACAAGGGACCTTTGATAAATGGCATTTGTAAATAACTATTATAAAGAAATCTTGGCTTGGAAATGCATTACAAGATAATACTGCATTATGTTAAGTGTTGTTTGAAGTCAGTTTTAATAGTGAACAGACATGCTCTTGACAGTGTAATTAGAGTGCAATTTATCATTCACTCAGTTTGGAATATAACATGATATTAGGCATAGCAATGTATAGCTATAGATTACATCATAATTGCAGTAGTATATTTAAGGCTAAATTGAGATCTGACTTCAGCAGGAGTATGTTCTGCAAATCAAGATAATGCACTGACCACCACTATTATTTTAATTAAATTATGTCACATTTTTAGTATAAAACAGTTCAGTGTATTCCTAGATGGTATATTACGTACTTAGAGCCTTAGCAAGGGTGGGATATTCAGTTGACTGGCACAGCTGAAATATTAAAGGTTCCTTGTCTGGAGCCTAATGCAGGAAATTACATC